GTCGTCGTCGTGGTTACCTGCATACAAGCATCTTGACCCCTGATTGCAGCTATGTGAGCTGCTGTCCATCCTCTTGTAGTTACTTGTGTGATATCAGCTCCATGCCAGAGCAGCCAATGAAGACACTACATTGAGAAAACAACCACATTAACAAGTGATAAGCATCAGTCTTTAGCAATTCTATAACTTTTAAATTTAAATTTTTAAATTTTTTCTTAAAATGAAACTCCCACTATAGCCTGAAAAGCATCATGAGTGACCAACATTTGGGTAAATGCTGGGTAAACAACAGGGAGAAGTAGGAATTCTTGCAAACTGGAAACTACATTTTTTGTCTACATGGTGCAGATACTACCCAATTACAGGCAGCTATGAGAATATCAAACAAAACACGTCTGTGAGCCAAAAGCATTCGAGGACTGCCAGTCTGCAATCTGTGGAATACATATTTTTGTAACTTAAAACATGGGGTCTCACTATGTTGCCCAGGCTGACCCATAACACCTAGGTTCAAAGGATCCTCCTGTCTCAGCCTCCCAAACAGCTGGGACTACAAGCACATGCCACTGTGCCTGCCTTCTACTATAAATCTGTAAACAGGTCCACAAGCTTTTGTATCAGAGTAAACACCGTTACTTGGATAATACCTTAAAAAAATAAGCCATTTCTTTTTTAAAGAGGGGAGATTTCTGAGAAGATGGTGGAAAGGAAGAGAAGGAAGGAAGTGGGTCCTCAGAACCAAGCAAGGATCAGAAGTGAGAACTGAAATCCACAAAGACAGTGAAGAGAGACACCTTATTGCAGAAGAAGGGGGTGACAAGCAGCACTTCCTCCCTGAGCCCTGACTCACTGCATGCGAAAGGCAGCTTGAGCCTGCAGATGCATGGTGACTACTGATGACCCCAGAGACCTCCACAGAGAAATGGACCAATGGAATGGAGCAATGATGCTGCAAACTGCAGTGGCTGGTGAGTTATTTGTGTTCAGAAGAGGGCAATGGGCCAGTAACCATCTTGGTGGGGAGCCAACTAAGCTCTAAACTCAGAGCAGCTGTGGGCTGGCTCGATCTAGGGACTCCCAGTGTCAGGGTGAGGCACAACTGAGTTCAAGGTGGCAGGAGGTCAAGGAACCAAGATCAAGCCAGGAGGAAGCACACAGAATATTTCAGGCTTAGAGAATCAGGTTCAAGGGCCAGGGATTTAGCTCAGTAGTGCCACCACCACCTGCCTCACAAGTGCAGAGTCCCAAGTTCAATCCCTGGTACCAAAAAAAAAAAAAAAAAAAAAAAAAAAATCAGGTTCCAGTGTCACAGCCAGAAACAGCCTGAAATTCAGTGGAACTAAAGGTACAGACTTGTGGGAGTATCCACTACCTCAATGTAAATCTACAACTGGCATGTTGGGATTAATAAACACTCTGGCTCTGTCTGTTCACTCTGTCTACCAGTGACAGCAGAGACAAACACTGCAAGGGAAGGTTTTTTTACTATTTTTTTTTCTTTTCTTGTTTTGTCATGTTTTGTTGTTCATTGTTCTTGTTTTTATATGACTGTGAACACTGTTTCTAGTTTTTTATGTTTTTCTGTTCTTTTCTAATTTTTATTCCTCCATTTCTCTTTCCCTCTCGTCTTCTTCACCAGTTTCCCGAGGTTAGTGTAATCTTCCTTTGTCCTCCAACCAGGCATTTAATCTCTTCCTCTTCTATTTCTCTATTTTTCCCCTAAGCCCTTTTAAATTTTCTCCCCTGAGGGTAAAAAATGAGGGCATATTTACTATATACAATTTTCTGCTTTGTTTTAGATTTTGTTATATAACCACAAATATAATTCATATGGTTAAAGGTGGGAAAGTAACAGTTACCACAGTTTGTCATTTTCTTTTCTTCCCCAGTACAAGGACCCAAACTCAGGACCCTGAGCTTACCAGGCAGGCAAAGCACCACTGAGCTACAGCCCCACCCCCACTTTGCTATTTTCCACACTCTGTTTGGTGCTATTGCTGCTGAGTGTGCTACTTGAGCCAGGGTGACATCATTGTTCCTATCAGTTGTTCTTCCTGGTATGCCAAGACTAAGGCTGCCTATGGGTCATAAACAATACTACAGGCCAGCACCAAATAAATGGGGGTTAGGCCAAAGAGGTAGCAACCTCTCACCCCCAATGAAGAGGGAGGATCTTGCAAAAGACTCAAAACCCAAAAGCCAGCTATAACTGAAAAACATCTCTGAGAAGTAGTAATTTCCTAAGAGTTCTAAACACTAGCAATAAAAATAAATTAATAACCATTAGCAATAAAGCTACCTGCCATAAGCAATTTATAAGCATCAACCCAGGTATCACTTACGCAAGATGCAACCCCCCCAAACTTCCAGCTCACCAAAGGCAAACCCAGGGGACAGTGAGGTGAAACAATTCAAATCCCACCCACCTGAACTCTCTGAAGTGGTAACAGTTGAAGTAACAAAGCAGATGAATGAGCCTCTAGAAAAAAATCAAATCACAAATAGTTTCTCAGATAGCTATAGAGATGGTGACCATAATGAAAGAAATTGTGAGTGACTTCAGAGCAGACAGAGATTAAAAAACAAATAGAAGTTTACAAAACTGATGAATACAATGAATGCCAAAAATAGGAAAGAAATGGAATCCATGAAACACATTCAAACAGATATCCAAGAGATTAAACATTCCATTTAAAGTATACACAGCAGAACGAGCCAATGTGAGAACAGAATATCAGATATAAAAGATAGTATTGCAGTTAGGTATCATGAAAAAGAAAGATTTCATAAAAATAGTAAGGAACAACAAAAAAATGCAACAGCTGCTAAATGATATAAAGAATAATATATAAGACTGATCAAAGTCAAAAAAAGCAGGAGATAGTGCAAACATTAAAAACATGCTCACAGAAGAAATGGCAGTAAACTTCCCAAACATGGAAAAGGAATTTGATATGCAGATAAGTGAGACATACAAAACTCCAACTAGCCATGATTAAAAAAAAAATCTATACAAAGGCATATAATAGTCAAGATTCCAGAAATTCAACACAAGAGCAGAGTATTAAAAGCTATTAGAAAAAAGAAACAAATCACCTATAAAGCCCATCAGAAGCACAGCTGATGTCTCAATATAAAAGTAAGGTCAAAGAGAGGTTGGAGTAAAGTATTTCAAGCACTAAAACGAAAGTTTCTAACCTAGATTAATGCACATGGCAAAACCCTTTAAAAATTGATGGAGAAATAAGATACTTCATTGACAAAGAACATTTGAAGAAATTCTCAACACCAAGCCATCATTCCAAAATATTTTGAAGAATATTCTGGAAAAGATAAAGAGGACCACAACTCCACAAACCTCAACAGAAAGAATCCCCCAGCCAAAGCAAGTAATTAAACAAAAGGGGAGGGGAGGGAACCAACTACAGGAAAATAAAATGACAAGGACAAGTCAACACACATCAGTTATAACCATCAATGTAAAAGAAACAGATCAAAAGAAATCAGACTGGCAGAATGGATCAAGAAGTAAGACCCAACAACATGCTGCATATAAGAAATACATTTAATTCAAAAAGAAATTAACAGAATGAAAGACAAAGGGTAGAAAACAATATGCCATGCAACAGGAACCCAGAAAAATCATCTCACAATTAAATTATGATAAGGCCTAGTTTTCCTGCCTGCAGGCTAGCTGTGGCATGTCAAGACATAACTCCATTTTTGTCTTTGTTCACAGGTAAAACCTCAATGGTCCTGTGATGCTGTGATGCTCTAGGGCAGAATTATATCAGCTGAAAGCATCCTGGGAGGGACAAATTCCTCATCAACATAAATTCCTCAGTGAATTAGGATCTTCATTTACATAAATTCCTCACTGTCCTAGGATCACTGCTGCCCTCTGAATTACCTGTCACTCCCAATGTACCTAATAAAGGTGCGGCAAGCTTGGGGTCCTTGTCTTTGCTACCCAGAGCAGCACCAATCCGGCCCAAAGCTCAACCTCTCTAAGTCTCATTTCCTATCTTTATTAATTAATTCACCTTGTGCTGTCTTGGCTCACAAGGAGACCAGGACTTACTGTAGGGATTCTGGTAACATCCCCTTTCCTGTCCCATACTGTTTGTTTTTTTGTTTTGTTTTGTGGTACCAGGGATAGAACTTGGGATCTTGCACTTGCAAGGCAGATGGCAGAACCACTGAGCCAAATCCCTGGCCCCCCTTACAGTTTTGCTTGACTTTGTTTTTTGCCACTCTCATGAGTTGGGAGTATATCTCACTATGATTTGCATTTCTCTAATGGCTAGCAATGTTTTTGGTTTTGATTTTTTGTACCAGAGATTGAACTCAGGACCTCACATTTGCAAGGCAGGCTGCAGCATCACTGAGCTAAATCCCCAGCTAATGGCTACCAATGTTGAACATCTTTTCATATGCTTGATTACCATCCATTTTTTCTCTTTGAGAAAGCATCTACTGAAATTTCTTGCCTATTTACAAAAAAAAAAAATTGTTTTCTTACTCTTGAATTTTAAGAGTTCTTTATATAAACTTGTTACAAAATTTTAATCAAGTTGTAAATTTATCTATAATCTGAGTTTACAACAATCCTAGGTCAACCTCCCAAGTGCTAGGATTACAGTTGTGCACCTCCATGTCCAGCTGTTTTCCTAGTCTTAAAATAAATTATCCCAAAGCTTAGTGTCAGCTGAAAGATTCAAGGACTGGAATTAGAATCTTCTGAAGCCTCATTCACTTAGATGTCTGGTATTTGACTGATTATAGACTGGACATGTTAATTCCTTTCTGTGTGGATCTGTTAGTGAGGACTTTCCACATGGACCAGTTTGTGCTTTCTCAAACTATGGGGGCTGAGTTCCAAAGGCAAGCACAGAGGGTAACTTACAGAGGAAAATGTAATGAATACTATCCTAACATTTTTGCTATAGTTTCTTCAGAGTTTTAGAAAAGAAATAAAATACTTCAGATATTCCAAATCTAAAGATAGCTATCATAAAGATTTTGGTACTATTTTCCCAAGATTATACAATATTTTGACTTGACATTATGCTTTATATAAATATCACATGAAGCCTGGTGTGGTGTGGCACATGCCTGTAATCCCAGTACTCTGGGAGCCTGAGGCAGGAGGGTCGCAGTGAGTTCAAAGCCAGCCTGGACTACACAGTGAGTTTGAGGCCATGTGGAAAGTGGGAGGTTGACCCAGGATTGTTGTAAACTCAAGGCCAGCCTTAACTACATAGTGAGACTCTGAGGCCTGGGGATTTAGCTCAGCGGTTTGGTGGCCTGCCTTGCAAGCACAAGGACCCGAGTTCAATCTCCGGTACAAAAAAAAAA